CGTGTATTTTTCTAACTTTTGCTATTTCTTTTAACCTTTCATGTAATCATTCTTTCTCTCTTTTCCAAACTACTTTAATTAACTTACTCTTTAAAAAATATATATATACATACTAAACTAATTTCCCATTTAATCTAATTTAAATACTAAAACTGTTTTATCTTCTTTTCCTAATTTCTTTTTATTATTTTCATGCAGGTTTTAGTAAGAGCCAATTTTATTTGGTAATTTTTCTAAGAGCGAAATTTCGTTCAACCAAACGTTTCGTTCTGCCATCTTGGAAACATCCACTTCGGTGTGTTGCTTTCCTACAAGAAACATTAAGCATCAAATTCTAAAATAACATCATCCATACTTACCTTTCCCTCGCACCAGAGGTCGTTGCTGCGGAAAGTTAAGATACAAAATCATCGATACTAGAACCTAGAACATTACATCGGGGAAAAAGGTCAGGAATATTTTTAAAAAATATAATTATGTATGAAATGGGTGCCCATTATGTATGAAATATAGTATATATCTTTGTAGGTATCAACTTTATAAAAAAACATTTTATGCAAAACTTGTTTAATATTTTATTTGCCTTAATTAGACTCCATTCAATTGTTTTAAATTCAGAAAACAAATGAGTAACGAATAATACTTAAATTTTTTAAATGTCAATGTATTCTTTCTTTATGATGGCGTAAAATTGTAATAAAAATTAATCAATAACATTAATCTAAATATCCGAGATCGTCAAATAACTCGAATTATTACTGTAAATTAAATTTACATACAAAATAAAACAAATAAACGAAAAACTATTGTACATCTCCAATAATTCGAGGTACTGCGAGATACTTGACGATCTCGGATATCTAGATTAATGTTATTAGTTAAATTTTCTTAATAAACTAAAATTAATTAAATTTTTCGCGGGTTCTAATAATTTTGATGATTGTTTTTTTTTGGTTATTTCTTTTTTTCGCTAACATTAATAGTTTAGAGTTCATTATTTGTTATTGTTTGTACGTTATTTTGAATTTTTGGAAATAAACAAAACTTTTCTATTTTGCCTGTATAGACATTGTTGGAAATAATTCACGAGCACACCCTGTATAATCTGAACGCGTGAAGATAAGTCCATAATATTTGCGGAGCACAAAGGATTACTGTAGACGAGTTTATTCAGGGAGTTTCGAGTTGTTCCGTCGCGGCATTGTTGTCTGAGCCACCCTTCCAAGTGGAACATTCCGTCGCTATGGAAACCGAAGTGGATGGAAAATACCGGTCGTTTTTAGTGTGGTGTGAGGAACCACATTGTTATCGTACTCTGTGCGCAATGGATGGGCGATCGCGTTACTTAAGCGAGTTTGAGAGAGGAATGTTTGAGGGTATGCACATTGAGAGTGTATCGTTTCCTGAAATTGCGCGTCGCCTCGACCGGTCGTTATCGGCAGTGCAACGGGCATGGCGAGAATGGTCTGAGGTAGGACATACGTACCTTCAGCCGCGGCCGGGACGGCCCTGCGCGTCCCCATCATACGAGGATCGCGCTCTTGTGCTCAGCGTTTTAGCACAGAATAACCAGAAATGACAGTGAGCCCGTCTAGACAAAATCAGGCCTTGTGAATCGCCATTTTATTGGAGTTTATTTTGAGCTAATATCACATCGGTTTATTATTTACTAATAAAAGTTTGACATATTGACTCCAACATGTAGACGAGTTTTGAGTTTTTCTGCCGCCGCATTGTTGACTGAGCCGCCCTTCCAAGTGGAACATTCCGTCACTGTGGAAACGATAGTGGGTTGGAGATACAGATTTTTTTTAGTGCGGTGTGACGGACCAGTATGGGCGCTGGGTAAATACCCGGCGGGTAGGTATTTCTAAAATGGGTATTTTCACACAATGTTGACCACATCATTTACGCCAGTTTTTCTTCATAGGTCTTCATTTCATATGTAGTCCCTCAGAGTTAGACCCAAGATCGACCTCTCCATCTATCTTTGCGTTACTTGGACCCTCCTGGCAGTGGCTACCGTTAAGTTAAAGTTTTGGAACATTATGTCATAACCGGAAAGACGCCTTTTCTCTTGAAGATGTCTCTATGTTTCCCGTAAGCTGCCCACACGAGTGTGATCCTTCTGTTTACTTCGCTTGTTTGATTATCTCTCGACTCATAGCCAAGATGTACATAGCTGTCAACCCTCTCAATTTCATTATCCCCAATGTTGATGTTAGAGCCGGGAACAAGATTTATCATAAATTTTGATTTCTCCTCGTTGATATGACCCGCATTTAAATCGTTCAGCATTTAAGAACGATATCGTCCGCGTAGCGCAAATTACTTAAGCATTTGCAATCAATGTTTATGCCTTTTTGGGTCCAATCCAGTTGTTTAAATGCACTCTGAGGACTGTGATGAACAATTTGTTGATTGTAACAGGGATAAAGTGCTTTGTTCCTACTTCATAATAACTTCATATTGCCGCTTAGTTAAATCAGCCTCTACAAACATGGCTAATGCTTCTTGCGGTGTTAGTGGACGAATTTTTTGTTGGCAATATTTGAGTTGGAAAGCTTTCTTATATTTTCCAGCATGAGTAGGAGAATTTGTGATGTTTTTCAGAATTTGGGATGCATCTCTTTTGCCTCTTTCTCTTAAGGTTGTTTGTGCAGCATGAATAATAACCTCATCGTCTGAAATGGTTTAGAAAGACGTCCCGGCCGACATTGACGATCACTTCGAAGTTCAAAGGTTCCATCCAACCAGACCTTATTCGTTTTTTTTTGAAAACATCTTCTTTTCTAGAGCTTTCGACCATTTCACTTTTATTGAAGATTTAAAGTAACCAAATCTTTTCTTCAGACATCTTATCTTATCTTCAGCGTTACAGGAGTACGACAAGAGATGCTTTTCCAAATGATTCAACTTTTCATCTAAAGTTGGAAAATTGAATTAAATAATAATAACCTTAAAAACATAGCAGGTTTTTTTAAATATTGTAATCCCTATTGATTCTTACCTGAACTATCGGGATCCATCACCCTCACTTTAGTGACAGACACAGAAACGAATACGCCGAAAACTGTAACGCGTACACACCAAATTTCATTGCGCTAGACGCACGCGTTCAGATTATACAGGATGTGCTCGTGAATTATTTCCAACAGTGTATTAGTCTCCAAACTACAACTAATTACGAACACTATCGAATTTAGCACCGCCATCCGAGGATGAGATTAATGCTGTTGCGTTTAGTCTTGACCCATACGTTCCAACTGCTAAAATATTAACATGGACGGATTACGAAGCCGAATTTAGCGGATGTACAGTTACTTATCGTCTTACAGTAAACGATATACCAATTCAACCTGATTTAATCACCAACACTTTTAAATTTACCGATGAATTGACTAATCCATGTAAAGATAACACAGTTAAATTGATGCCTATAGTGTCGGGAGTAAACGGGTTAGAGAAAGTAATATCCGATCATATCGAAGGTAGATATAAAATTAAAACATTACTCTCCAAACTACACCCATTTTCACATGAAATACACCACCCATTAAGAATTAGACTACAATTTTGAAACTTCGGTAAAATAATGCTTTATTATCAACTAATTGTAAGAAACAATGAAAGTTTAGTTGAAAAAAACAAAAGAAAAAGCTAGTAGGGGGTTGTATCCCTACGCGCAGCTATGCATGCATTAACTCTTCTACCCATACTCTCTATTAAGTGGTCTATGTCCTCCTGAGGTATCTCGTTCCATGCAACCTCTAGATGGTGTCGAAGTTCATCCAGATTCTCAGGAGGCCTGGGTGCTTGTCTTAGTCGCCGACCCATCATATCCCAGACATGTTCAATCGGTGACTAGTACAGGCCAGGGCAAAAATCTGCATTCCAACTTGCTCCATCTCACAGCAGTATGGGATTTTGCATTATCCTGTTGGAATGTGGCATTCTGCAACGTTTGCATGAAAGGTACTAACACCGGTTCCAAAACGTATTCGATACAAGGACCACAAGGACGTGCGTTTAATGTGCCTAGAATGAACGCAAGTCCACGTAACTCACCAACTGCTGCTGCATAATTTTTTCAAGCACCTTAGATATCGTTGGAAGAATACTTATTGGTGTAAGATCTGCAAGATCACCCAACTGAAGCGGATGTGATAGAAGCCAGAACAGATCGCACCTCTGCTTCACTTACATTTTTAAATACAAATTGATTTTGACATGCATTATGCTTATAAAAATCCAAATTAACAGATGGCAAACTATCCACAAGCTCGTTTACACTATCTACAAAATAAGTGTTAATACGGTCAGGGTTCTGAAAATGCGACGGTAAAGACAACGCCCTACCATCCGTCATAACCCCAAGTCTTCTAACTTCATTCCATATCTGTTTAGTTAGAACTTTCTTGTTCTGTCAAATAAGCAAAATAAGCACGTGTTTCGTTCCTCACAGCTGCAGTGATGTAGCTACGCAGAGATTTGTAGTAATCCCAATTACCACGACTGCGAGTCTTCCTGAATTTCATTTTTGCGCGATCCCTCAAGTTCAGAGCTTTATATTATCTGTCTGACTGCGTGGTTGAAAATTGTAGTTTGAATTTTAGTGGGTGGTAGATTTCATACGAAAGTGAGTATATAACTATAACTAATTACGAACACTATCGAATTTAGCACCACCATCCGAAGATGACATTAATGCTGTTGCGTTTAGTCTTGACCCATATGTTCCAACTGCTAAAATACTAACATGGACGGATTACGAAGCCGAATTTAGCGGATGTACAGTTACTTATCGTCTTACAGTAAACGATATACCAATGCAACCTGATTTAATCACCAACACTTTTCAATTTACCGATGAATTGAGTAAAGAATGCAACGGCAACACAGTTGTCTTAATGCCCATAGTCGCAGGTGTTGAAGGAGAAAATAAAATCCTAAGTAATGATGTTGACGGTAAGCAAACTTTTTTTTTCTATATTATGCATAGCACAATTGTATAACACCTAGTAAATACATACTAATTAGTTACTGATTTTTAACACCAAATTAAACTAGATGATGTTTTGCAGCTTTTCCGAGTGGGCCAGTCTGCTTTACCCATAATATAGATAAATATTGTCATATTTTTACCGTTTTAAGACCAAAACACAAAAATGCGCACACTGCGATACGCGGAACACACGTTTTGGGTATTATTGTTTTTGTTATAATTCCGCACTATTGCTCGCGTTTGAATCGACTAAGCCACTAGGTCACTAAATCGAACGGCTTCATCCTCTGAAGGCGACGCAGGACATCCTCGTTATCGAGAAGCTGGATGTCTTCGACGTTGGGATGATCATCTCATGTTTAGATGCGAATGATGCAATTTCTGATAACACCGATGGTTGGTACTTTGCTCTGGAATCTTTGAATCAGACTCGCATTTGTCTTGCAGGTACAACCCCACAATTGGATTCCGTATGTCCATTTTGGTTTTAATACTTGCTTGTACATTGTTGGAAATAATTCACGACAACTACCATACCACATTTGGTATGGAAGTTGTTCTAAAGTAGTGTAACTTACTCTTACATGGAGAGCGGCACAACTCTGCTGGGAGGAGAAACATCAATAGCGAGAGTATCCCCCGTGAGCTTCGCGCACCATCCCTACACAACGTGGCATGGAGTCTATAAGTCGCTGTATTGTAGCAAGAGGGATGGCCAACCATGCCACCTCAACTCGCCTCCATAGCTCCTCAACGTTAGCCGAGGAAGCCGGATAACGTAGAAGTCTCCGANTTCCAACTGCTAAAATACTAACATGGACGGATTACGAAGCCGAATTTAGCGGATGTACAGTTACTTATCGTCTTACAGTAAACGATATACCAATGCAACCTGATTTAATCACCAACACTTATCAATTTACTGATGAATTGAGTAAAGAATGCAACGGCAACACAGTTGTCTTAATGCCCATAGTCGCAGGTGTTGAAGGAGAAAATAAAATCCTAAGTAATGATGTTGACGGTAAGCAAGCTTTTTTTTTCTATATTATGCATAGCACAATTGTATAACACCTAGTAAATACATACTAATTTGTTACTTATTTTTAACACCAAATTAAACTAGATAATGTTTTGCAGCTTTTCCCAGTGGTCCAGTCTGCTTTACCCATAATATAGATAAATATTGCGATACGCGGAACACACGTTTTGGGTATTATTGTTTTTGTTATAATTCCGCACTATTGCTCGCGTTTGAATCGACTAAGGCACTAGGTCACTAAATCGAACGGCTTCATCCTCTGAAGGCGACGCAGGACATCCTCGTTATCGAGAAGCTGGATGGACTCGATGTTGGGATGATCATCTCATGTTTAGATGCGAATGATGCAATTTCTGATAACACCGATGGTTGGTACTTTGCTCTGGAATCTTTGAATCAGACTCGCATTTGTCTTGCAGGTACAACCCCACAATTGGATTCCGTATGTTCATTTTGGTTTCACACTGTTGGAAATAATTCACGAGCACATCCAGTATAATCTGAACGCGTGTGTCTAGTGCAATAAAATTTGGTATGGAAGTTGTTCTAAAGTAGTGTAACTTACTCTTACATGGAGAGCGGCACAACTCTGCTGGGAGGAGAAACATCAATTGCGAGAGTATCCCCCGTGAGCTTCGCGCACCATCCCTACACAACGTGGCATGGAGTCTATAAGTCGCTGTATTGTAGCAAGAGGGATGGTCAACCATGCCACCTCAATTCGCCTCCATAGCTCCTCAACGTTAGCCGAATGTCCCACTACTCGGCAACCCACTAATGCCTAGCGTTGACCCACTCGTGACGTATGTTTCGCACGACGCACGCGCAGTCCACTATCTACCAAACGCCGCGATCGCCCATCCATTGCGCACAGAGTACGATAACAATGTGGTTCCTCACACCACACTAAAAACGACCGGTATTTTCCATCCACTTCGGTCTCCATAGCGACGAAATGTTCCACTTGGAACAGCGGCTCAGTTAACAATGCCGCAACGGAACAACTCGAAACTCGATGAATACACTCGTCTACAGTAAACCTTTGTGCTCCGCAAATATCATGGATTTATCTTCACGCGTTCAGATTATATAGGGTGTGCTCGTGAATTATGTCCAACAGTGTATATAANGCATTCTTGCACGCACTGCTCGAGTAGACGATCACCACGTCTCCGACGAACTAAAATTCGCGCATCACCGGTGCTCAATTCGAATCTTGATTCGTCGGAAAACAAAATGTCCCTCTACTCGGCAACCCACTAATGCCTAGCGTTGACCCACTCGTGACGTATGTTTCGCACGACGCACGCGCAGTCCACTATCTACCAAACGCCGCCGTACAGTTCGCGTAGTGAGTGCGCCTTCCCCTGCCGGTGGCCAAACAGCTCCAAGTTGCCTTGAGGAGGACTCACACGACGCTAAAGCGCTGAGCACAAGAGCATGATCCTCGTATGCTGGGGTCACGCAGGGCCCTCCCGGCCGCGGCTGAAGGTAGCTATGTCCTACCTCGGACCATTCTCGCCATGCCCGTTGCACTGCCGATAACGACCGGTCGAGACGACGCGCAATTTCACGGAACGATACACCCTCAATGTGCATACCGCGATCGCCCATCCATTGCGCACAGAGTACGATAACAATGTGGTTCCTCACACCACACTAAAAACGACCGGTATTTTTCATCCACTTCGGTCTCCATAACGACGGAATGTTCCACTTGGAAGAGCGGCTCAGTCAACAATGCCGCGACGGAACAACTCGAAACTCGATGAATACACTCGTCTACAGTAAACCTTTGTGCTCCGCAAATATCATGGATTTATCTTCACGCGTTCAGATTATATAGGGTGTGCTCGTGAATTATGTCCAACAGTGTATATTAGCAACTTGTTTCTTAGTGATAGCGTTGATTTTCTGCCAATAAGCCAATATAGGTGTCTAAATTTGATATCAAGTTCTTCACGTTTTTTTTTGACATGAGCTTTCCATTTGAGTTTGGCATCCAGCGTCATACCAAGATATTTTGCGGATTGCATTGCCATTTATGTGTACTGGGACATAGTTTACTTTCTTATATGTAAAGTTTATGTATGTCGATTTATTTGTATTTAGTTTTAATAGCCATCGTTTGGTCCAATTTTCTATTCAATTTAATGCCAATTGTAACTTATTTACTGCAACTACTTCATTTTCTGCAACAGCCAAGATCGCTGTGTCGTCTGCGAATGTAGCTGTTAAAGTTTCTGGTTCCTGAGAAAGGTCGAATGTGTAGAGTATGTATAATGTTGGGCCAAGCACACTTCCTTGAGGAACTCCGGCTCGTATTTCATGTATTGGTGAATAAGTGTTTTCGTATTTTTCTTTAAAATATCGAGCAGAAAGATACGATTTTAATAGTTGACTAGTTAAACCATCTAACCAGACTTTGTCGAAAGCTTGTGCAACATCCAAAAATACGGCGGAGCAGACTTTATTTTCTTCCATTGCTATTTCGATAGTATTCGTTATTCTATGCACTTGGTCTATTGTTGCATGTTTATTCCGAAACCCAAATTGGTGTGTTGGTATTAGGGCTTTTTCTTCTATGACAGGTTTTAGTCTTTTTAATAGTAATTTTTCAAGCAGTTAGGGTTGATAGTAAGGGTAATAATGAGATTGGCCTATATGATGTAACATCTGTGGAGGGTGTACCAGGATTTGGTATCATTATTATTTCAGCAACTTTCCATATGCTTGGGAATTAATTAGGTCATAGCCCATTGTTTTTTTATATTTAGTTTTTGTATTTCATAATACAGTTCTTTTATTCTTACATTTTGCTGATCACTTTGAAATACGCTAGGGACACTATTTAGCATAGTTGTTGGAGTTCTTGGGTAAGCAAGCTACAAGCGTTTATTATTAATAACACGATTTAAGCCTTAATTGCACAGCCCGGAATGTAATCATCAATTTGTACAACTAATAAAATTTGATCACTCCTGCAATATTCCAATAGTCACAAAGCGAACAAACAAATTTTAATTTTTCATTTTCTATTTCAACAGAATTACCAGAAATAACAGACGGTTCGTTTGAATTAATAACCGAGGGAAATATGTTAATAACATGGAAACCACCATTAACTTTAGAGACTTGTGAATTTACATACGACTTGGAATTAAGAGAAACGCAGGAATTAGATTCTATAACACTAGATTCTTTCGAAGATTATAACGAAGTAGAACCATTCATTTGGGAACCCTCTAATGTAGATGGAATAACGGATTGTGGAGTTATGGTGGTTATAATTACACCTAAATACAAATCAAAATCTGGAACTAGTACCTCGTTGGGTTGTACGATGCAAAGTTTAAGTTTACATGTTTTGTAATGTATTAAACATTAATTTATAGTACTATTAATAATATCTTATATTTCTAATTGTAAAAGAATAAATCATAAATCCTGGTAGTGTTGGTAAGGATGTGAAAAGAAAAATATTACATTAAAATAGAATAGATTTCAAATTTCTGTTTGAACAATTTCTCACTTACATTTTCTGTAAAGTTCATTCCTTCCGGAGGTTTAAAACAATCCATTTTACTTTTCACTTTTTACACACCATGTCATCTATTAGTCTTTTCACTAATAAAACACTCACAAATAGTTATACAACGTTATACGAGAATCGAGTTTTACACCAAATCATCGTACATGTCACTTAAAGGATAATGTGCCATGAAGTTGGTTACCAATGCTGCCAACACACAAATAACGCAATATTTACCTTAACAAAATCTTGATAAAGACTGATTTTAATTTTATTTAAATAACACAAAACTTCAACAACTTAACAACAGCTGATTACAAAGAAACGCGAATTACGTGGCGCCATCTGTGGTGAGATAAAAAATTAACATAAAAAACATTGAATTAAGAAGAAGAGTCGTAATGAATATTTAGAATTAGTTGTTAATTTAAAATTACCTTAAATATTTCTTCAAATAATTCAACAAAACGATGAAACAAGTTGACACTTTGCAAAATCGCGAAGATTTTGTTCACAAACAAAGCTTAGTAACTGAACATGGCCTACTTTGATTTTTAGACAATTGAACATTTTTGACAGATAACCTATATAACAGTGGTGTCCACTAATTTTTGTTCAAGATCGACTTTTATATAAATGTCTTGCCAAGATCGACTGAAGGGTTTAAAGTAACCTTCCTTTTTTTTGCTCTGAGGCCAAGATATAGATATTTCAGATTTATGATTTTCTTGGCCACCACTGATTTAGAGCTTATAAATAAAAAATTTATTTATAAGGTTTTATGTATAAAAAGTATTTCCCCATCGCTTTTAGTTTTTGAGTTACAATTGAGTTAATTTTCGAAAATCAACAATTTTGATGTTTAATCGATTTTGAGCTTATAAATAAAAAATGGTAATAATTGGGTTCAATCTTGTTATGGATCTAATCTTTATGGTCCATTACTAAGTTTTTATGTATAAAAAATATTTCCCCATCGCTTTTTATCGCTTTTTATGAGTTATGATTGAGTTAATTTTCGAAAATCAACAATTTTGATGTTTAATCGATTTAGAGCTTATAAATAAAAAATGGTAATAACTGGGTTCAATCTTGTTATGGATTTAGTCTTTATGGCCTATTAATAAGGTTTTATGTATAAAAAGTATTTCTCCATCGCTTTTACTTTTTGAGTTATGATTAAGTTAATTATCGAAAATCAACAATTTTGATGTTTAATCGGTTTAGAGCTTATAAATAAAAAAATGGTAATAATTTGGTTCAATCTTTTTATGGATCTAGTCTTTATGGTCCATTACTAAGGTTTTATGTTTAAAAAATATTTCCCCATCGCTTTTATTTTATGAGTTATGATTGAGTTAATTATCGAAAATCAACAAATTTGATGTTTAATCGATTTAGAGCTTATAAATAAAAAATGGTAATAATTGGGTTCGATCTTGTTATGGATTTACTCTTTATGGTCCATTACTAAGGTTTCATGTATAAAAAGTATTTCCCCATCGCTTTTAATTTTTGAGTTATGATTGAGTTAATTTTCGAAAATCAACAATTTTGATGTTTAATCGATTTAGAGCTTATAAATAAAAAATGGTAATAATTGGGTTCAATCTTGTTATGGATCTAATCTTTATGGTCCATTACTAAGGTTTTATGTATAAAAAATATTTCCCCATCGCTTTTTATCGCTTTTTATGAGTTATGATTGAGTTAATGTTCGAAAATCAACAATTTTGACGTTTAATCGATTTAGAGCTTATAAATAAAAAATGGTAATAATTAGGTTGGATCTTGTTATGGATCTACTCTTTATGGTCCATTACTAAGGTTTTATGTATAAAAAGTATTTATCCATCGCTTTTAGTTTTTTAATTATAATTGACTTAATGTTCGAAAATCAACAATTTTGATGTTTAATCGATTCAGAGCTTCTAAATAAAACATGGTAATAATTGGGTTCAATCTTTTTATGGATCTAGTCTTTATGGTCCATTACTAAGGTTTTATGTATAAAAAGTATTTCCCAATCGCTTTTAGTTTTTGAGTTACAATTGAGTTAATTTTCGAAAATCAACAATTTCGATGTTTAATCGATTCAGAGCTTATAAATAAAAAATGGTAATAATTGGGTTCAATCTTGTTATGGAT